ATGGCTTCAAACTACAAGAAAGGAGATTCCATTTGAACATGAGGAAGAACTTCCTGACTGTGAGAGCCGTTCAGCAGTGGAAATCTCTGCCCTGGGGCATGGTGGAGGCTCATTCTTTGAAAGCGTTTAAACAGAGGCTGGATGGCCATCTGTTGGGGGTGCTTTGAATGCAATTTTCCTGCTTCTTGGTATGGGGTTGGACTCAATGGCCCATGAGGTCTCTTCCATCTCTATGATTCTATCTCCCAAGAGAACCAGAGAACCTTTGAATTGGTTCCCTTTATGGAACATCAAATCAAAACCCTTGTTCAATGCAGAATCATCAGTCAGAACATCCCAGCAGATAACAGATCCAACCTCTTTTTGAAGATGTCTAGAGAAGACCCCACCATCTTTGTTCATTGCTGAATGGCTCTGTCAAGGCTTTCCTTCTAATATTCATCTATCTACAGAGGCTGGATGGCCATCTGTCAGGGGTGATTTGAATGCAATATTCCTGCTTCTTGGCAGGGGGTTGGACTGGATGGCCCATGAGGTCTCTTCCAACTCTTTGATTCTATGATTCTATCTTCCTGTAACTTCAAACACTTAAATCTGTCCTTAATCTCTGGGACTACAAAGTGGGGCTACAAAGTGGAATCCTCGACATGCGAGTGTGGAGAAGAACAAACCACTGACCACCTGCTGCAATGCAACCTGAGCCCTGCCACATGCACAATGGAGGACCTTCTTGCAGCAACACCGGAAGCACTCCAAGTGGCCAGATACTGGTCAAAGGACATTTAATCAAGTACCAATCTCACAAATTTTGTATTTCGTCTGGTTTTTTTTTTGCTTTGTTCTGTTAGAAATGTAATATAATCGACTGGTTGCACTGACACGATAAATAAATAGATAAATAAATAAATCTCTGGGACAACAGAGAACAAACCTGCCTCGTCTTGTCTGTGGCAGCCCTTGAGGTATTTAAAGAACACAACCATGTTTTCTCTAGAGTGGGCTGAATATATGAGTGTAATAAAATTAGAGATACCTGGGGCAGGGGGAAATAAAGAATCCCACCGCTGCCACCAGTATAACAAAATTAAGGCTGACCATAAGTTGAATATATCAATGACCGATGTTATTGGTAGCATTAGCCGCCACCACCTCAGCTTTATTGGTCTGAGGAACCAAAGGTGTGAATGTGTTGTAGGTAAAAGTGTGTTTGCCCTGGGTATCTTCTATTACTCCTTTAACTGGCTGACTGGACTTTAAAAGTGCTTGACAGACTGAGGCTTACACCAGCTAAAAGTGAACTAGAAAAAGTTTATTGAGCTTTAAACAAACATCTACTCATAGAATGAGCGGTACAGAAGCGTAATTCAGTTGCAGAAACTTAGTTGGATTAAACATTTAGTTCTACTGACCATGAAGCTTTTAAAACTGTGAGTTTCCTTAAACACACTGTTCTATCCTTAGAAACAGTATCTCTTAGAAAACAGACTCCTGTCTGTCTCACACACAGGGCGATAAGATATCTTAAACTTCTCTTAAGTTTAATAAGACAAAACTCTCTTTTACTGGTCCTCTTAACACAGTAAAACCCTAGCCTTTGTCTCAACCTTATTCCCTAACCTTAAGGCTCACTTTCTAGCTTTCTTTCCTGTCAGAACCCTATTTTAGCTTCCTCTCTTAAAATCCTATCCCTCTGTGTCTGATATCAAGACACTTCTCTCTCCTCTGTCAAAAGCTGACAGCCTTTTTCCCTCTCTCAACCGACTCCTCCCCTAATTGCTATACCCAATCAGGAGTCGGCTTGACTCCTCCTCCTGCTTCTGCCTGCCTTTCAAGATGAAAGCTACTGATATACAGGCTTTGGCCTGTTCGCCTAAAAGGTAGATTTCACTACAATGGTTTATTTTTATATTACTGGCTGTGGCACCTGGGATTTCTAGCTTAGGTGTTTTGTAATGCCATTTATTAGAAATAGGTATTATTTGTTTTTTTTATTTTTGATAAATGGTCTCATTATAACATGCATAAGGATGTGGGTGCACATCAACTCCCATCATCCTATGTCAACCCCCCCCCCTTGCCAATTCTGAAAGTATTTATAGTTGGTTATGATGGGAATGTGTGTCAAGCTTGGTCCAGATCCATCGTCACTGGGGTTCGTGCTGCTTTCTTGATGTGGGTGGACTATAATGTCCATCATCCTGAATCATTCATTCCATAACCACACCAATATTTTCAGTTAATCACGATGAACATTTGTGTCAAATTTGGTCTGGATCCATTGTCACTGATCCTGATATAGCTCTCTGTATATGGGAGCCATCCTGGAAAATGCATAGATACATACAGAGATAGATACTTAGATACTTTGACTTTATTATGTACATAGATTATATTTCCTTCCGATATATGAAAAAGTGCTTGTAGCTGTTATTTTGCATCATTCTCTTCATTTTACTTTATTTGCTTCAACCATCCTATTGACCAGGCTCCTATGCCATCCATTCCTACTGGTGAGATTCATATCCAGCGTATCTTTCAATGGACTCCTTTGCCCTCTTATTCTTTCTTTCTTTTCACTCCTTCTCTCCATCCAAGGAGGCCCAGCTTGCTTGAAACAAAAGACGTAATCTTGTGTTTGCTAAATCATGTTATCACCACATTCTTATAGCACAATCTGAGATGTGTAAACAAAGCAGCAGGACGTCTTCCCGGATGCTAGATGATATTCTTCACAGCTCCAGGTTGCAAGAACAGGCTTGTCCTGGAAGATCTGGGCTGGTTGCATTTTTGTTTGAAATTCCATTGCCACAAAGAATTGGTTAGAAGTTAGAGACAGTGGACACACCGCACAGTGAGATGACTTAACGGACTTTAACTCAAGCATCTGCTCTGCCTGAAAGAAGCCTCCCTTGGAAACCTTGGGAGATTTTATTCCCTACCAACTTCAAATATGAAAGAGACTTTGTGTGCTTGCCCTGGGAGGCAGGCACACTTTTCAAAATTTGTATATGATAAAAACAAATGGGAGGGGGGGAGGATAGGGATGTAAAAAAAAAATTTGCATTTTTTTCTGTTCACCGTAAAAAAAAAAATGCATCTTATTATGTTGAAGCCCCTCATCGAAAAAAGTTCAAGTTTGAGCCTGGAACCCGGGCTTCGGCAGTGGCCAGGGGAGCTTTCACAGAATTAAAACTTGTGCGCCACTTGCGCCATGGAGCCCCTGGTGGCGCAGTGGGTTAAACCCCTGTGCCAGCAGGACTGAAAACCAACAGGTCGCAGGTTTGAATCCGGGAAGAGGCGGATGAGCTTCCTCTATCAGCTCCAGCTCCTCATGCAGGGACATGAGAGAAACCTCCTATAAGGATGATAAAAACATCAATTCATCTGGGCATCCCCTGGGCAATATCCTTGCAGATGGCCAATTCTCTCACACCAGAAGCGACTTGCAGTTTCTCAAGTCGCTCCTGACACAACAAAAAAAACCAAAACAAACAAAAACAACCACTTGCGCCCAGAATATACCTTTGGAAGTCAGACTTAGCCACAATAGTCCATGCTCTCGTTACATCCCAAATAGACTACGGCAACACCTCCATGTAGGTTGCCTTTGGAGACTGTTTGGAAGCTTGAAGTAATCCAACAGGCAGCAGCCAGGTTGCTCACCAGAGTGACGTACAGGGTACATACAACTCCCCGGTTGTGTCAGCTGCACTGGCTTCCAGTCCGCTACCAAGCACAACTTAGTGCTGACTTTAGCCTATAAAACCATAAATGGCTCTGACCTAGCTTACCTGTCCGAATGTATCTCCCTCCATGAGAAACTTAGAGCATTAAGGGGAGGCCCTGCTCTTGGTCTTGCCTCCTCAGGCAAGACTGGTGGGGACGAGAGACAGGGTCTTCTCTGTGGTGACCCCTCGGCTGTGGAACTCCCTCCCCAGTGACATCAGATCAGCTTCCTCCTTCCTGATCTGTCACAAAAAAACTTAAATCCTGGCTGTAGAAGCAGGCATTTGGCAAGTAGACCCTACCTTTGTGACATCTATTTGTAGGTAATAGACAGGGCCTTTGGGACTGGGACTGTTGTGCAGCTGGCTGGGAGTCAGCTGCATTAAGATCACTACTGACCAAAAGGACATGAGTTCAAAGCTAGCCCAGGTCGGAGTGAGCTTCTGACCAATTTGTGTAGCTTGCTGTCGACCTTTGCAGCCAGAAAGACAGGTGCATCTGTCAAGTAGGAAATTTAGGCACCGCTTATGCAGGGAGACTAATTTACGATCCCATAAAAATCTTTAGCAAGCCTGCAAAGAACGAGGAAGTACTTCATCAGTGTCACAAATGGACAGTGAAGCAACAGCTCCCCTAGTGGCCAGAATACCCTCATGAAAAAGCTGGAATGTTAAATTGACTCTGTGTGTCTGTCTATATATGTTGTGTGTCTACGGCATTGAATGTTTGCCATGTATATGTACATTGTAATCCACCCTGAGTCCACTGTGGAGTGAGAAGGGCAGAATATAAATACTGTAAATAAATAAATAAATAATAACCTGCACTTTGAACTGGGACCGGAAACTTATCGGCAGCCAATGGAGCTGCTTTAGTAGGGGCATCGTATGCTCCCTGTAGCTAGCCTCCAGTTAGTAGCCTAACTTTTCTATTATTCGGGGTTTTTATATGATATATATATATGCAAAAGTTATACTGTGGTTTTGAATGAATGTGAGGCACCTTGAATCCTGTACTGCGAAAAAAAACTAATTAATTGAAACAGAATTAATTCATCGGTAGATATAAATAAATACTATAAATAAATATAAAATTTCCTATTAAAATGCTGAAAATTCACAGGATTTCAGACTCCAGACAAAAGAATCTGACCTGTGAGAATGCTGTTGTAAAATAATCACTTCTACAACCTTCATTATCTGCAATAATTTTATAAAGTCTCAAAGGTTTTTGTTTTTCTTTCCTGGTCCTCACTTTTTTCTTGCTTTTTCTAGGAATCTGAAAAAAAGGGCTTAATAGAAAGAATCCACATGGTTCAGGACATTGTTATAACCGTTCAAACTATTTTGGAGGAACTTGCATCTTTTGCGGAAAGGATAAAAAAGTAAGTGAAAATTGTGCTGGGTTGATGGAACTATAGACGTTTGCTTTTGCCTAAGCCTACTGGGAAAGGCATGATCTCACCCTTTCCTCTTCTTATCTCCTTGCTGAGTTCAACAAATGCAAACTCACTGTGTACCTTGAATTCAGCTTGGTTGTTTTGGGTTTTGGTCCCTGGCTGAAATTTGTATGGCTTTTTCGTATGTGTTTCTATGATCTTTGCATATTTTTGCACCCATTTTCTAATGCACATGTTTTTGTGCATATGCACACATTTTGTACATCATTGTACATTGGGTCATGGTGGATCAGTCATTGCACTATTGTGCTGTGGAGGTATCACAGCAGATGCTAGGTCAGTGTTTTTCAACTTGGGGGACGGCACCTCTGGGGGGGGGGCTCATGAGGTGGTTTCAGAGGGGTCACCAAAGATCATCAGAAAACATATATTTCTGATGGTCTTAGTAACAGCCCTCCTCTTGGCCGAGAGACTGGCTGCACAGTGGGGAGCAAGGGAGAACATGCGAGCCTGGAGTGAGTTTCGCACCGAGTCCTTTCAAGGCATTGGGGTTCTGTGTGGTAGAGAAGGCTAAAGATCTCTCCACCTGTCCTTCTATTCCTTTTTAGAAACAGATAGCGAATTCTCCTACCAAAATCCCTCCTCCACTGTGCAACTGGCCTCTCAGCCAAGGAGAGTACTGTTTCTGAGACTTCAAATGGGGAGGGGAGAGCAGGCATGCTGGGCACATGGCAGTGTAGTGCACATGTGCGGGCAAGGGAGAGCACACTAGCCTGGAGGGAGGGTCGCACCAATGAGTCCCTTCAAGGCATGGGGGTTCTGTGTGGGATGTTTGTCCCAATTCTATCATTATTGGGGTTCAGAATGCTCTTTGATTGTAGATGAACTATAAATCTCAGCAACTACAACTCCCAAATGTCAAGGTCAATTTTCCCCAAACTTCACATTTGGGCATATTGAGTATTCATGCCAAGTTTGGTCCAGATCGACCATTGTTTGAGTCCACAGTGCTCTCTGGATCTAGGTGAACTACAACTCCAAAACTCAAGGTCAATGCCCACCAAACACTTCCAGTATTTTCTGTTGGTCGTGAGAGTTCAGTGTGTCAAGTTTGGTTCAATTCCATCATTGGTAGAGTACAGACCACTCTTTGATTGTAGGTGAACTATAAATTCCAGCAAGTAAAATTCCCAAATGACAAAATTACACCCCCCCCCCCCCAATCCCACCAATATTCAAATTTGGGTGTATTGGGTATTTGTGCTAAATTTGGTCCAGTCAATAAAAATCGATCCAGCATAACAGAGATCTTGGAGTCTTTGTGGACAACAAGTTAAATATGAGTCAACAATATGATGCGGTGGCAAAAAAAAGCCAATGGGATTGTGACCTACATAAATAGGGGTATAGTGTCCAGATCCAGGGAAGTCATGCTACCCCTCTATTCTGCCTTGATTAGACCACATCTGGAATACTGTGTCCAATTCTGGGCACCACAATTGAAGAGAGATGTTGACAAGTTGGAATGTGTCCAGAGGAGGGTGACTAAAATGATCAAGGATCTGGAGAACAAGTCCTATGAGGAGTGGCTTGAAGAGCTGGGCATGTTTAGCCTGAAGAAGAGAAGGCTGAGAGGAGACATGATAGCTATGTGTAAATATGTGAGAGGAAGTCATAGGGAGGAGGGAGCAAGCTTGTTTGCTGCTGCTCTGGAGACTAGAATGCGGAACAATGGCTTCAAACTACAAGAAAGGAGAACTTTCTGACTGTGAGAGCCGTTCAGCAGTGGAACTCTTTGCCTTGGAGTGTGGTGGAGGCTCCTTCTTTGGAGGCTTTTAAAGAGAGGCTGGGTGGCCATCTCTTGGGGATGCTTTGAATGCAATTTTCCTGCTTCTTGGTATGGGGTTGGACTGGATGGCCCATGAGGTTTCTTCCAACAATATGATTCTATGATTCTATATACTCGAACTTTTTAATTGTGCCTTTTCCATGCCATTCCACAACAAAGTACACATTGTGGGTATGTGTTTTGTAGCCACCCTCACCTTTTAATACACTTTCTTTTGGGTTTTCTTGGCAGGGGGTTGGACTGGATGGCATGAGGTCTCTTCCTACTCTATGATTCTGTGATTCTATATTTACATTTCGATTCATAACAGTAGCAAAGTTAGAGTTATGAAGTAACAACGAAAATAATTTTATGGTTGGTGGTCACCACAACATGAGGAACTCTATTAAGGGGTTGAGACATTAGGAAGGTTGCAAAACACTGATCTAAGAAAACACTGATATTATTCCTTGCAAGAAGCAGGAATGATGGTCACAGTTGTGTGTGTGTGGTTTTTTTTAAAAAAAGAGAGAGACGAGAGAAAGAAAAATCACCTTTATATCTTATTGATTTCTGCATTAAGAGGTCACAGCATTAGGAAGGTTGAGAAACACTGTGCTAGGTGAATTTGGACATTATAGAACTGCTCTAATGTATTTCCTGTACAAATAAGTTCACTTATGAAGATGCAAATTTCCCATCAAATTCCAGCATTGGAAATATATTAACGAACTCAGAAATAACTATGAGTATATTGATGGTTGCTGTACAGAGGAGTTAACGTGCTTCTCCTTTTATCTCATCTGTTTTTTTAATCAGTTTTTAATCATTTTCTCGCACATGTCGCCACCCATTGTCACTGTAACTGTGTTTATTGTAATCTTATATTGTTAATGTATTCTTATAGAATCATAGAATCATAGAATCATAGAATCAAAGAGTTGGAAGAGACCTCATGGGCCATCCAGTCCAACCCCCTGCCAAGAAGCAGGAATACTGCATTCAAATCACCCCTGACAGATGGCCATCCAGCCTCTGTTTAAAAGCTTCCAAAGAAGGAGCCTCCACCACACTCCGGGGCAGAGAGTTCCACTGCTGAACGGCTCTCACAGTCAGGAAGTTCTTCCTCGTGTTCAGATGGAATCTCCTCTCTTGTAGTTTGAAGCCATTGTTCCGCGTCCTAGTCTCCAGGGAAGCAGAAAACAAGCTTGCTCCCTCCTCCCTGTGGCTTCCTCTCACATATTTATACATGGCTATCATATCCCCTCTCAGCCTTCTTCAGGCTAAACATGCCCAGCTCCTTAAGCCACTCCCCATAGGGCTTGTTCTCCAGACCCTTGTTTTATGTAATTATGATGTTGTTGTTTGTTGCATGTGTTTTTGGTTTTATTTTGCTGTAATTTGTTGATTGGGCTTGGCCTCATGTAAGCTGCCCCAAGTCCCCGTTGGGGAGATGGTGGCAGTTTATAAGTAAAGATTATTATTATTATTATTATTATTATTATTATTATTAGTTTTTATCCTTGAAAATTGGTCATGCATTTCATCCATTTTCAAATCCAGACCTGTTTTGATTCATTGGTGAAATTTCAGGCAGTTTCCGCATCCATTCTCTGGCAGAGAAAGAAGAGAGGAAAGAATAATCTTCTTTCTTTCTTACACGATTGGAGCTGTGTGACCCTCCTTTTACAAACATCTGTGCATGCACACACCCCCACATACACAGACGCATAGAGTCTTGTCAACAGTTCCGCTCTTTCAAAGAGCAGCCATGTGGGGGTCTAAAAATACAACAAATCCATGTGTTGTGATTCCGCAACATCTGTCCCAGCTGTGTAGGAAATGGCCCAGCGAAAGCTTCCACTTTGTGAACGGAGCACTGTTCTGTGTGCAGCTGGATGGAAATGCTGGGAGGCTCTTAATTCGTTTCGTATTCATTTGGATGACAATGATCCCTAAGAGCGCAAGAGGGGCATTAATACGGTTGTCCTGCCTAATCTTCCAGGAATCTCATTGTAACTCAATAGCAATGTTGCTGTGGACCAGGGTGGGCTGGGAGTCCCTCAGCGTGGTTTTAACAAGTGTCCCAAGGGTTTACATAAACTCTTCCATCTGTGTAACCCGTACTATCAAAGAGACTTTCATAGCTCGAGTCAGTTGGGGTTGATGGATTTAAAAATACTTTCCATGTATTTCTGGGCCAGGGCCCATCTGTTCCTTTAGTTTCAACTTTGTAAGGTCTTCATTGAAACTGGGACATTCCCCTTCAGCCCCGGAACCTTGTAGGTCGAGACAAAGTGTTCCTCACAACCCAAATGATACTCTTTTTTTCACCATCATCTGGCTCAAAGGACATCCAGAAGACATGCCTGGCAACCTTCTGGTGACATCCAGTGCCCTCAACGGGCAGAAGGTTGGATTAGGCCACAAAGGGTTGTGTCTAGTTCACACAGCCAAACTGTTGTCTTTATTTACTAGTAGGAGAGATCATTTTTATAGGCGAGGAAGCGTTCCGCTCTGCAAAACTCTTGAACATTAACCTTGTTGGCTGAGTTTTGTGTGAACATCAGGGTCCACAACATCCAAATGGATTCAGAGATTGTCACTGCTGGTTATGTGCTTTAAAACCATTTCCAACTTAAGGTGACTCTTAGACAAACCTATTGTGGGATCCGTTTGGGAAGAATGGGTGAATGAGAGCATTACCACCCTGTGAGACATGGCCAGAGACACCAAATGGATTTCCATGGCTGAGTGCAGATTCAAGTTTGGTCTCCCAGCATCCCATCCTGACATTCAAACACTTCACCATACTGCTTTTCTAGAGGATGGGCCTCAGTTATGTCCCTCTCTTGGCATCGTTTACATAAGGAGTGGGCCAATGTGCTTCTGCAGATGTCTTTAGACTGCTCTTACAATCCTTTGGGATGGCCCACACCATCAGGTTTGAGATAATTTGCGACGCCGGTGGGACCGAAAGCAGGGCCTCCCCAGTAGATCTTAAATTACGAGGTGGAACGTAGAGAGAGATACGTTTGGATAAGTAAGCTGGGCCGGAGTTGTATAGGGTTTTATAGGCCAAGACCTATAAAACATTGGGGCATATTTACCCAATGGCAGAATATCCATATTTAATTCAAGCTATAGTATTGCATCATGCCTGAATGCATACCGGAACATTGCCCATGGATGTGCATGCACATTGCATGCACATTTGGATGCATGGTTGGTGTCTTGATTCAATGGTACAAACATGGGTTTAGCCTGCACTTTTAAAAAACAATTGAACTAATAATATATATTTAATATACTAATGGAAAGCAAAGAAAGAGGTTGGTACTTGCAGTTGGTATTTGGGGGCTATACAGTGTGCTAGATCTATTCTGAAAACCCGGTCTAACGTTATTATTATCATCATTAGAAGGAGGCATGGTGGCACAATGAGTTAAACCCTTGTGCTGGCTGAACTGCTGACCTGAAGGTTGGTGGTTCGAATCTGTGAGACGGAGTGAGCTTCCATCTGTCAGCTCCAGCTTACCCTGCGGGAACATGAGAGAAGCCTCCCGCAGGATGCTAAAACACCTGGGTGTCCCATGGGCAATGTCCTTGCAGATGGCCAATTATCTCAAACCAGAAGCTACTTGCAGTTTCTCAAGTCGCTCCTGACACACACACACAATAATAATAATAATAATAATAATAATAATAATAATAATAATAATAATAATTTGAAACACAACAAGATGAGTTCACAGCAAACAAGATCACTCTGCTGACTGTTGTATTAGATCATACTTCGGACACTTCCCAAGTGTCTAGGACTGTGTGATGTATTGGCGAATAATGCATGTAGATCCCAGTATGGCAGCCTTTTGCAGCTGGCAGATGGTAATTTTGTTAGCGTTGATTGTGTTTAAGTGCAGGCCAAGGTCTTTAGGCACTGCACTCAGTGTGCCAATCACCACTGGGACCACCTTGACTGGCTTGTGCCAGAGACTTTGCAGTTTGATCTCATATCATGTTAGTTTTTCCAATTGTTTCTCTTCAATCCTGCTGTCACCTGCAATTGCAACATTGACAGTCCATACTTTGTTTTTTAACATGATCGTGAGGTCAGGAGTATTGTGTTCCAAAACTCTGTCTATCTGTCTATTCGGAAGTCCCAGAGGAGTTTGACGTGTTCATTTTCTGTAACTCTTTCTGGCTTGTGATCCCACCAGTTCTTTGTCGCAGGCAGATGGTATTTGTAACACAGGTTCCAATGAATCATCTGAGCAATGGTGTTATGCCTATTATTTATTATTATTATTATTATTATTATTATTATTATTATTATCATTATTTATACCTTGTTTTACTCCCCATGAACACTCAAGGCGGCTAACAATCCCACATTAGACAAGTTTAAAAAGTGCAATGGAAAGTAAAAAAAAAATAAACCAAGTAAATAGTAACAATGTGGTAAAAAGGTCTCGCCCTTCAGTCTGAAATCCAGAGTAAGCTCACCATCTCAGTGATGTGAATGCTATTGACAAAGCTTAACTTATATTTTGTAGAACATGATTGGAAATTATTTTGCAAACAGGGACTCTGATGGAACGTGTTGGTGAGTTCTATGGAGACTAAAATGCTCTCTCTTGTTGTCTTCTCCACATGGATTCACAGCACATTCAACTGGACAGTTCCTTTCCTCTCTGCCTTGGCTTGTTTAGTCCTTGCAGTAGCAATGATCGCCCTGTATTACATACCACTAAGGTACATCGTTTTAATCTGGGGTAAGTCAGTCCTTTTTTGTTCTATTTCTCTTCTTCTCTATTTTATTTATTTTTCCCCAAATTCCCCCAGCATGGGGCCCAGGGTGGCTTACAGTACAAGAATCAATGAATCATAGAAAGAGGGGAACTTGATGTATTGAACTCAAAAGTGACTTCCAAATCCCTCTGAGGTGCCTTTTTGGAGAGATGCTCTGCCTTGCAGTGCCTTTGTCAACCCATGCCATTCCTTGTGGGTGTAATCTTGCCCTCGATTTTAGTCTTTTTGCTAAAGCACAAATACCCGGGCACCAAACACACGTGTTTCAAGTTCTTTGAAAAGAAATGTCTTTAGAAATGGCGTCTCTTTGCACATTTAGAAGACCCTCGGAAAGCAACGTGTCGGGTATATAGTGTGCCTCTGGATATGTATTCCCAAAGCCAAAATGTCAGCCTCCAAGTCGCCCTTCCCTTCCCCGCAAAACCCATTCCTGCTCCTCTTACCACTTAAAAGCCAAGGAGGGGGGCTTCCACTGCGGAGGCAGGCAAACCGTGTTGCTTTGTAATAAACCGCCCACTGCTTCTTTCAAAGAGAGCTGTTTGTGAATGATTCCACATGACACCAACATGTGTCCGCCTCATCTGTGTTTTCACACTAATTTTTTCTTGTAAAACCCATTGCTGTGAACACCACCCACCTTCCTGCCTGAGCAAGCAAGGCATTTAAGTGCTGGGCTGTGTGTATGTCAGTGATTGCAATGGGCTTTCTTTCTTTTCTTTTCTTTCTCTGTCTTCTTTAAAAACCTTGTAGTAATTGTATTGCATTGTGTGGTGATTTTTTTTTTTTTTGGTCTCTCTTTCCCAGGCATAAATAAATTTACGAAAAAGCTCCGGAATCCCTATGCCATTGACAATAATGAGCTCCTCGATTTCCTCTCCAGGGTGCCGTCAGATGTTCAAAGGGTAGGTAATGAATGGTGGCCTCCCACCGAGACAACAGGCCTGGGTCCAAAGAGCCACCAGGTGTGATGCCAGATGAACACAATGCAGAGGCATTTTTTGACCAGCAGAGAGAACGCATCTGAAGAAACCATAAACGAAAGCAGGGAAGGAGATGGACAGATGCAGGGACATGGGGAGGGGGGGGGGGTGAACATCTTCGCAGAACAGAACTACATCCCACCCCAAAGACCTCTTTTTTCAAAAGGCTTGGAGGTCCATAGAAGGCTTTCTCCATCCACATTTGCTTTAAGGTTTGCATGTTACTCTCTGTGTTACCTTGTAGCCACCCCATCCCCAGTGGGACCAATACCTGTGTAAGGCTAGAATCTAAGGTGGCCACGCGCAAATATTTTTGGGTGGAAGCCACATGGCAGGCCAGGGTGGAGCAGGTTGGCAGGGCTGAACTGGAAGGGGAAGAGAGAAGCTGAGGGCAGTTGGCACAGGGGGCGCTTGATGTGAGCGGACAGTTGGCACCTCGAGGGTGTGTCCTCCTCTCAGTCCAGGGATATGGTAGCCCACCACGTCTCCAGGCTCAGAGGAGGAGGAGACACATGCCTCTGCCAAGCGCTCTTACCTGTGGCGTGTTTCTCTTCCAGTTCGCTTCTCAGCAGCAGTATGTCTCTGCCTCAACCCTCTTCAGCCTGGGAATATTTATTTATTTGTGTACTATTTATTTACTATAGTTGTATACTGCCCCTCTCAGCCCGGAGGCAACATGAGGTGGGTTTTTTTTATTTAAACACTTGTGCCCTGCCCTTCTCAACACCCTAGGGAGGACTCGGGGAGGCTTCCAGTCGGCAACAATTCGATGCCAAATAATAAAATACAAACTACCAATAATTATAATAGTTAAAAACATTTAAACATTAAAGCAATGTACTTACAGTCTACTAAACGATTACCAGCCTGGTGGCTGTTACCTAGCCAAATTCTGTGATTGAATGCTCCATTTAACTTATCCATAATCCATTTCCAAGCCATTGTGGTTGGCCATTGCATCCTTATGTTGAGAGCAAGGCTGAGGCAGATGAGGGCCAGAGGGAAGAGCCCAAAGGGCTGTGTCCAGTTCACAGGCCTGGGTTTGCTCACACCTGGTCTAAGGTCTACCTACTTGAATATAAGTCTTGGTGGATTGTACTTCTTACTAAACACATGAAATGGAAAGGCGTGGAAATATATTTGTGTGCCTGTATGTCTCTGTAGGTATGTGAAGAACATAAGTGGGGAATCCACGTCCGCGGTTTCACTTAACCAGAGGAAAAATTGTCTCTCTAAAATCATACCAGGTCCTTCAGGGGATTCTGTGGCATACTTCACCCAAATGTTATCATAGAGTTACATTGGGGGACCTACCAAATTCCTCAAGAGAATACACCTATAGCAATTTTTAGGTCCCCCCAACACAATTCAATGCTGGGACCAGAAGTGAGGAAATAGCCTCCAAATGCCCCCAGTGGCACAATGGGTTAAACCCTTGTGCCAGCAGGACTGAAGACTAACAAGTTGGGAGTTCTAATCCAGTGACAGCATGAGTGAGCTCCCTCTGTCAGCTGCAGCTCTCTCTGTGGGGATATGAAAGAAGCTTCCCACAAGGATAGTAAAACATCAAAACATATGGGCGTCTCTGGGCAACATTCTTGCAGACAGCCAATTCTCTCACACCACTAGCGACTTGCAGTTTCTCAAGTCATTCCTGACACACACACACAAATTGCCCAATCAGGCTGTTTTTTTTTCTTCACCTGCTTATAAAATACAATATAATAATAAACTTTATTTATACCTCACCAACATCTCCCTAACAGGGACTCAGAGCAGCTTACATGAGGCCAAGCCCGATCAACAAATTACAATACAATGAGATACAAATTGCAATAAAATAAACAACATAACATTAAAGTATAAAACATATAAGCATATAAACAATATACACAAAACATTAAAAAAAATAACAGTAAACCAAACATGACAGTCACTCTTTCTCTCTCCTTCTCAACTCTAATGTCAATCTTTCGCTCTCCTTCTCCAACGTTCATGTGTCTCAGCTCGCTTGTATTGCTGCAAACTGAATTGAAAGCACAAAAGTGTTTTATAGCCTTATTAAGTCAGTAGATGGAAGAGGGAAGAAGAGGGGAGAACTTTGCTTTGCTCAGGAGGTTCAGGCAAAAGCAAACTGCTGCAGGCCCTCCAAGCTTTGTGTGCCCCATTCATCACTTTTGCCATTTGGACCACTCTCTGATATTGATTGGTCTCATGTACTCCATTATTCAGTGGTGAAACTATGGAGGGTATACTATGGGCCCTTGGAGTGGTGCTTTTAAATGGGTTAAGGGGTCCTGAGTGGACCAGGAACACTTCTTTCTCCACCCCTGCAATAGGCATCTGGTTTCCCAGGACATTTGTTAAGAAAAGCCAAAGGAATGCTATCTGAATTGAACCCTGATTTGAGTAGTTTCCCTAGACTATCAGTTCATTCAGTTGAAGTGAGCTTTTGAGTCAGCCCACACTTTCTGCCTTGGCTTTTTGTTTTAGAGGTCACAGGCTTTCCAGTGGCAGTCTGGATTAATATTTACATTTGAAGATAAGCTGCTTTTCTGTTTAGGTTATATAGAAAGTTTTCATTTCTGGAATTGGCCTGAAATAGTTTCTCTTAAAACCAGTTGATGTTAAGGGTGGAAGGGACAGTCTGGCAAACGCTGTGATGGTGCATGTAATTTGAGGAAATGATTTAGCACCAACCGAGATATAGAGAGAAATGAAGTTCAACATAACTAAACAACAGAGTTCAATACAGTTGCATAATGTTTAATTCTTAGGAAATGGGAAACAACGCATAAAGCTTGTGCTCCTTTACTTTGCCAATATCCAGAGCCTAAATCATGATAAGACTTTATTATGCCATCCAAATTCGGCAAACATTTTTGTTACTTTCCATTTACAGTTGTCCACACGATGCACTTACCCTTAGTGAAGACCAAACTCCACTGCTCCTCCTTCTCAGGCTCCTGATTTACAAATACACTTTTCTATTTCCTATCTCACTCAGAGTTTTAACATTTTAACATTATCTTGCACATTTGATGTGCCCTTGGTGATTGATTTTATTATGTTATTTTGCATTGTCTATTTTTATTGTGTTACATTATGTATTTTGTTATGTTTATGTTGTTTTGTATCTTCTTTCGTTGTACTGTTTTTGGGCTCGACCTCATGTTAGTCGCCCCGAGTCCCCATTGGGGAAATGGTATTTGATGGGTCAGTTCAGGAGCAACTTGAGAAACTACAAGTCACTTCTGGTGTGAGAGAATTGGCCGTCTGCAAGGACGTTGGCCAGGGAACGCCCGGATATTTTGATGTTTTATCATCCTTGTGGGAGGCTTCTCTCATGTTCTCACATGAGGAGCTGGAGCTGATAGAGGGAGCTTATCCGTGCTCTCCCTGGATTTGAACCTTTGACCTGTTGGTCTCCAGTCCTGCTGGCACAAGGGTTTAACCCACTGTGCCACTGGGGGCTCCTGGGGAGATGGTGGCAGGGTATAAATAAAGATTATTATTATTATTATTATTATTATTATTATTATTATTATTATTATTAATTGGTAATTGATACAGTTATATCCGTATGTAATGTGAGATTCATTTAATTGTCAATGCATTTACCCCAATGCAGTATTCCCTCTGTAATGTAGTATTCCTTTTTTAGAGTAAAGTGTTCAGTACAATTTCTAGAATCCTGCTGGTGTTATATGCCTGCATATGGAAGTATTTAATAATAATAATAATAATAATAATAATAATAATAATAATAATAACTGGGAAGTGTCCAACGTGTCATCCAATACAACAGCCAGCGGAGTGTCTGCTGTGGACTCATCTTGTGGTGTTTCAAATAATAATAGTAACTTAATTTTGTACCCTGTCTCCATCTCCCCGAAGGGACTCGGGGCGACTTACCTGAGGACAAGCCTCAGGTTCAACATAATTAAAATATAACAACAAAATGTATAAAAACATTTCACAATATAAAAACAAACCACACATAATACAATACATAGCGAACATCTAACAACCTTCATGGTCTGAATAATGTACAGTTCTGAGCTCGGGCAGTCAGCTGGTGCAAATCACTTACAAGGATAGGGCTGATGGATAATGTGCTGAGGACGGATGATAAGGTTAAAAACTGGAGGGGGATGTAAGGAGAGCACTATGTCATTAGAAGGTAACAATGATAAAGTGCAAGATCTGATTATGGATCAAAATTGGCCAGAATTATTTGGGGAACTATCTAGTCAAAGGCACAGTGGAACATCCTTTTTTAGTTCTTTTCAGAAGGTGGCCAGAGTGGGTGCCATTCTAATCTCCCTGGGATGAGAGTTCCAGAGCTGAGGGGCCACCACTAAGAAGGCCCTCTCTTTCGTTCCCACCAACCGCACTTGTGACAAGGGTGGGAGTGAGAGGAGGGCCTCCCCAGAGAATCTTATCGATCACAGTGATTCGTAGGGGAAGATGCGGTCACGAAGATAAGTAGGTCCCGAACTGTGTAGGGCTTTATAGGTGATAACCTGCACCTTTCATTGAGACTGGAAGTTTATCGACAGCCAGTGGAGCTGTTTGGACAGGGGGGTTGACCACTTTCTGTATTTGTAATTTTTTTCCTGATAGGAGCTTCAGTTTTTGCAAGATGGAGTTTCAAAAGTTTGCACACATGTTGGATGGAAAGAACATCTGCAAACATTAAGAAATGGCAGGAAAAACATGTTTTCAAGGGTTGAGAAACCACAATGAGAGGAACTGTGATATGAAATCTTTATAGTTCAGGACTTGCTTTGCACAAAAAAATGGACAAGGATTTACATAGAACACATAATTTTCTATGCATGAAACTGCTTTTTTTTTTGCACAGAAAAAAATAAGTAGTATTTCTTCATAGAACATTGTTGGTTTCATTGCACAGAACGATCATATGAGAATTTTGTACAAGAAAGAAAGAAGATAGAATGGGACCTTTTATGCCACATGCCAAAATCAGGTGGAAACCCCCTTAACGCCCGGACCAGTGCATCTCATTAGGAAAAACAAAACCTGGCTTTAATATTTTGCTTTTCAAGAAATGATGCATGACTTCTCAAATCCTTCCTGCAATTAATCCCCCATGTTACCGTGTTTGGAAAATGATTCATTACTTTTGAACCTTCCTTGGTTTTCCTTGAGTTTGTCCTCGGGGAACCATTAACACGTAGCGGAGAAAGCTTGGGTTACCTTGTTGCAAACGTGACGTCTGTTTGTTTTTACAGGTGCAACATGCTGAATTGAAACCATGCAGCGGTTCCAATCCCATTAGGAAGAAACGGAACGCTTTGTAGGATGCTGAGTTTGGAATGCGGCATTCTCCGGCACACTCACACACATCCTCATGCACACGGTGCTGTGCTCACTGCCTCCTATCCTGGATGTTTTGTCTGGAAAGACATATGTAAAAACCTCCTGCTCCAAATTAACCCAAGGCCTCACCTTGAATTGAGATGGCGTTCCTCCTACTTACTCACACACCGATTTTTACCCACACTAAGAAGAGAATTCGACGTATTGAATCCTGAATGGTTTTCAACATGCCTGTTGGATTCAAAACCATAGGAGAGACTTCCTCATATTTTTGTATAGCAGAAAAAGTCACGTTTTGCTTCGTGGGCAGATCAAGAAAACTGATATGAGACATTTTCAACCCCCTCAACAAATTTGCATTAGGATACGAAACCAATCCATCACTTGCCCAAATGACTGTGTGCCTATGGTTTTCTAGCTCCAAATCAGCCAAACTCTTGATACATATCTTCTACTTCAAGCAATGGATGGTTTAGATAATTTTTGTTTCCTCATAATTATCAGATATTGCTCAGCATTCAAACGTTTTCTTTCTTTCTTTCCTTCCTTTTTTTAAAAATAATCCTGCAATTGCTGCTGACATATTTGTTGAAAATTGCCAATAGCTGCTAAATACCATTTTGGAACTGATGTGCTTTGAGAGCTGTCTGTTGCTGGCGACAGGCATTTTCTCCAGGTTCCACATAACAGGGCCACAAGGACTGGACCAACGGATGCTATTCATTCAATATGCCTTTCAAGTTTCCATTTTACCAGTCTGTTCATTTTCTCCTCGATTCCAACTTTCGATGCAATGGTATGCACACACTACATAGGCAAAAATATTTTTAATATAATCTTATAGGCATAGAGATGCATGCATTAAAGGGATATGTTGGAGATAATCTGTAGCTATTTTTTAGTGTATTTTAATCGTGCAATTCTGGGTATGTCCATTGTCTAAGCACTGTTTACATGGATTTACATGGTGGCTCAGGTATGGTGAACCTGGAGAACAAGCCCTATGAGGAGCGGCTTAAGGAGCTGGGCATGCTTAGCCTGAAGAAGAGAAGGCTGAGAGGGGATATGATAGCCATGTATAAATATGTGAGAGGAAGCCACAGGGAGGAGGGAGCAAGCTTGTTTTCTGCTTCCCTGGAGACTAGGACGCGGAACAATGGCTTCAAAGTACAAGAGAGGAGATTCCATCTGAAGATGAGGAAGAACTTCCTGACTGTAAGAGCCGTTCAGCAGTGGAACTCTCTGCCCTGGAGTGTGGTGGAGGCTCCTTCTTTGGAAGCTTTTAAACAGAGGCTGGATGGCCATCTGTCAGGGGTGATTTGAATGCAATATTCCTGCTTCTTGGCAGGGGGTTGGACTGGATGGCGCATGAGGTCTCTTCCAACTCTTTGATTCTATGATTCTATGAACCTTTGGATTTTCAAAAGTTTAGGACTTCAACTCCAAGGGATCCTAAACAATGTAGCCTTTGAATTATGGAAGTTCCTCTCCAGAACATTTGGATACCCTGACCTCAGATCTCACAAAATGAGCTGTGGAAAAGCAAATCATCTTTTTATCACACCGTGTCATAGGATTCCATTTCAAAACAGATCGTTTCATTTTAGAATTTCCATTCAGACACGTATGTTTCCCAGCCATCTCACCATTGTGCTTCGCATTTGGAACCATCACATGAAGGAGTGCAGTCCCTGCCAATTCTGTATTATTTTTGGAAAAACAGAAAAAATCTTCAGATTTGTGGAACTCTTAAACCTTGCAGTACATCAAAGGAGGAATTTCCAAAGCCGACCAAGGGCAAGATGGATGGATGGCATCCTTGAAGTGACTGGACTGACCTTGAAGGAGCTGGGGGTGGTGACGGCCGACAGGGAGCTCTGGCGTGGGCTGGTCCATGAGGTCACAAAGAGTCGGAGACGACTGAACGAATGAACAACAACAACAGCGACTGGGTACCAGGACGTTCACATGATCTTATTACGCTTGTGCAATCTGGGTAAACTCTGATCCATTTTGGTGTCCCAGATTTCGATTGGGGTCCTGATCCATTTATCAGGAGCCTCCCAAATTCAGGATGACAGAAATCAATTTTCGATCCGGGAAGCCAAAAGATTTGTTTTCCATGTAGCCCATTGGTGGCCCACAGGCTCCATTTCCCATAATTTAGGCATCGTGTTTGTCCTTATATCTTTCATTAAGACCTGGATTAAAAGCACCAAATTTAAGATACCACTCTTTCTGTGATCCTTTCCCTTCTGCCTATAGAGGAGACCACATTTAATGCTTCATTAAAGCTGTTTCTGCTCTAGAGGAGGCAGGAACTGCAGGCATGCACACTCTCTCCCTACAGCAGGCAGTTTTCCAAGTCATTTTAAGGAGGCTTCCCATTTTCCAGGGAAGGAAGAGGAATCAAGCGGGAGGTATCCTACACTAGGCTTCCTTTAAAAAACCCTCACTTCTCTCTTGATTTGGAAGGGCTAGAGTGGTACCCCCCCCCCCCAAACGTTTCCTTCCTCCCACTCCATGTCTAACTGAAAGCAGCCAGTTTTTGACAGCCACTGTTCTGTTGCAGCCAGGAAAAAATGGTGGTAAAAAATAGCCCACACCAATCGAACCAACTGAAGGCAAACATCCATAACAAATCCATGCACAAGCCTAGTTCTTATTGCACAGTGGCCGGCATGTAGCCGGGGGGCAGGGGGGGGGGCTTGGGAGCTTCAGCCCCCCCCCCCCCCAAATTCTCATGGTGGTTCGCGAAAAGGCCTTACTGGTGCACTATTTAAACTGTTATGTTTATTCATATCATGAGCTGATCAGCATGATCAATATATCCCATATGCATGGGGGTATTGGGGTAACAATACAAAAGGTTTGCTAGCGTAGACCCTCTTTCACTCAGACTCAGCCCCCCCCCCCCCCAAAATCAAAATCCTGGCTACGAGCCTGCACAGTGGGTATATTTTTCAATTGCACAATTTCTTCTTGTGAGATTATTTAAAAAAAAAAAGTCCAGGCTCATATGGAAGGACTTGGGACAAGAATTGGAGCATCAATGCTTGCCAGAAGACCACCCATAGCTTCACGTTACTGAATTGAAATGACACGGGTGAATCTGACAGCTCCCATCTCACTTTCTCCCATTTTGAAGCACGTCAGGGGCTCAGAATACGACTTCTTCCCATCTCTGTTCCTGCTTGTTTCTCTACACTTCTACTACATTTCATGGACGAAATGCAACATATGACATCTGGAAGTCATTTTGCATCCATGGCACTTCCTCAATGAAAGGTCTTAGAAGTGTGTAAAAATGGAGTAGGACTATGAGATAGTTTACCTAGCAACTGCCAGTGTCTTATTTGCTGGGCCCAAAGCATTGTAAATTTTGGATTCTTCAGATTTTGGAATATTTGCATTTGCACATATATACTTACCAATATATCTCAGAGATGGGGCTCGAATCTCAAGACGAAAGGCATTTATGTTTCATGTATAGCTTTTGCACATAACCCGAATGTAATTTTATAAAAAAATATTTGAAATAATTCTATGCATGAAACAAAGTTTGTGTACACTAAACCATCAGAATGCAAAGATGCCACTGTCTCAGTCACCCCTGTGAACTATTTTGGATTTTGCAGACAGGGCATGCTGAACCTGTATTCATAATTGTAAATAGAAATCATTTGTGAGCTACTCCTTTAATTAAACTTAATAGTTTAGAGAAGTGACTCCTATTGATGTTCAACTGCAGTTCCCATCATCCTTCAACACTAGCCATTCTGCTGAGAAGGAGAATGGTTATAGATGAATTGCAGTCAAAACACTTGAGGGACTTGGATGTTTGATTGGATGTGAGGGATCCAACAATTCATTTGCCAAACATGGTGGATCTTCAGGAAAATAATGGAACAGGTGAGAGATCCAACAATTCATTTGCCAAACATGGTGGATCTTCAGGAAAATAATGGAACAGGTGGAAGTAGAAGACCATGACTTACACAGAAGCTTTGAATGGGAGCATCCACAGACAAGAATGATTGGCTAGATGGATCAATAGAACAAGGCATTTTTGTCTTCCTATGTAGACTGTTAGAATACGGGTGAGAACATCTCAGGATAGTTTGCTATCTGAAGGTGGTCAAAGGTCTTAAACAGATCATCTTTCATTGAGAAAGGTCACATTTGAAGCTGGTACGGGGTGGTTGAATGTATAGAAAGACTCCAAGAACAGGTTCCCCTCCATTCGTCAATATCCCGGAACTCAAATTCCCTGGGTCTTGTGAAATGCATGTTGTGAAGGATTTATGAGAAATGTATATTGGGTCGCCTTTTTCTTTAAATCTCTTTTTATCAGATGCATTATGTTATATTAATAAACAGCCTTTTTGAAATGATGTGGTTTATAAGAGATTTCAACTTTATAAATAAAACATTTTGGTGACATAATAAATTTGGCGGTTCATTTTCACTGTGTGTTTGTACAAGTGTGGCTTAATTATTTATTTCCCATATATATACACTAGGCTTGGTCAATCAAGGAAAAAATTGTTTCTAAACTCGCTTCGTTTCCAGGGGGCGCCAGCATTTCTAAATTCTGAGGACTTCCGAAATTTGAGATTTCAAAGTTTCGTTATTTCCGAAATTTCGTTATTAATTACGAATTGAATCGTTAATGGCGGACGCGATTACGCAATGCGCTAAGTTATTTCCAAAATTTCATAATTAATTACGAATCGATTCGTTAATGGCGGACGCGATTGTGCAATGCGCTAAAAACACCTACAACTGGTGTTATACAATACTATAATATAATAGTATTATAATAATATAATATAAGAAAGAGGAGGGAAGCAGCAGAGCAAAGGGACCGGAAGTGGGGTAAGTGCGAGATTGTAAAACTTGCACCAGACATATGAAAATAATTACGAAATAATTACGAAAATTGGAAAAAATTGTTTCGATTCTTAATTACTCCTCACACTATTCCTGCATGGCTTGATATTGGATCGTAAGCTAATTTAAATACGAATCAATAACAAATTACAAAATTAACGAACTGGATCGCCCAAGCCTAATATACACCACGCTTCTCCCCCTGAAGGGGGACCCAGGGCAGCCTAACAAAAGCATCATATGATGCTAGCATCATAAAAACAACCACAGTACAATCAAAATATTAAAAATATTGAAACAACAATTAAAACAATTAATTAAGACACAGCCATTAAAATCGAAATCCAAAAACCAGTCCGGGTCAATTCATTGCCACAAGTTGTGTGATCTTCTTCCACTTGCTGCTCACTGATCAAACACTTGGTCCCATAACCAGGTTTTGATTTTCCTTCTAAAAGACAAGAGGGAGGTGGCTAATCTGATATATCTAGGAAGGGCATTCCATAGGCGGGGTGGGGGGACACTACTAAGAAGGCCCTGTCTCTCGTCCCCATCAACCGCATTTGCGATAGTGGTGGGATTGAGAGCAGGGCCTCTCCTGAATATCTTAAACTTCGTGATGCAGGAGTTCAGAATCTCACATACATGACAACCCTCCTTATCTGGCACAGCATCCCTATGTTCTGCATTCATTCATTACCATAAATTGGGGCAATTTTGGGATCCATGAGGCATTGGAGGGCATATTCACCCTCTTAATACCCCATGGATCAGTCCACATTCCAAGTAAATAGGAGAAAAAGTCTGCCTTGGGTCTAAAACTACTGATGGGAAATTGGAGATGTAACATGGGAAAAGTGTCCTCCATATCTTGTGGGGGTACAAGTATCACGAGGTGCTTTTCACATCCCATGATAACCCAAGGAGAGAAACATGTGCATGCAAAGAAGAAGATATGATGGTGTAGCTTACACAATCCATGATTCTGCACATAACATTCTATGGTATGGACTGTTGTTAAAGGGCCGGGCTTTTGCACAGCAGGTTAAACCGCCAGCTGCAGAAAATCTTGCCAATCGAAAAGTCGACAGTTAAAGTCTGGGTTGGGGTGAGCTCCTGCTGTCAGTCTAACTTCTGCTCACCTAGCAGTTCAAAAACAGCAATGCGAGTAGATAAATATGTACCACTTTGACAGGGAGGTAATAAAAGGTGCCCATGCAGACATGTCAGCATTTCGATCGGGAGGATGTCTAAGGACAACAAAGCTCCTCAGCATGGAAGATAGCGAGAGTCCAAAAGTGGCAGGCTCAAACCCAGAACCTCAACCAATGGCTGATACCAAATGAGAGACTCCCCCCTGGGCACACAGAGGACTGGGCGACTTGGAAGGCGCTGAACAGACTGCGCTCTGGCACCATGAGATGCAGAGCCAACCTTCAGAAATGGGGCTACAAAGTGGAATCCTCGACATGCGAATGTGGAGAGGAGCAAAACACAGACCACCTGCTGCAATGCAACCTGAGCCCAGCCACAATGGAGGACCTTCTTGCAGCAACACCAGAAGCACTCAAAGTAGCCAGATACTGGTCAAATGACATTTAATCAACTACCAAACTCACAAATTTTGTATTTGTCTGTTTGTTTGCTTTGTTCTGTTAGAAATGTAATATAATTGACTGGTTGCCCTGACACGACAAATAAATAGCATGGAAGATGGAGTGATAGCACCTCCTTGAGGTTGGACTTAAGCACAGCCTCGTGATGCCAGAGATTCGGATTCGGCACAGTCTGGTTTCAGACCGGGACATGGAACCGAGACGGTCTTGGTCGCCTTAGTGCAGTGATGGGCAACCTTTTGAGCGTGGTGTGTCAAAATTCGCCAAAAAACTGAGCAGAATTCAGGTGGTGTGTCACTTCAAGAAAAAAACCATCATTTCGCAATATTTCGTTTAAATAACAAAAAATATATAATTGTAATTCCCACTTTCTCTCTTATCATGTTGTTCTACCTCTCTTGATGTAAATAATATCCTTTTTGGAGTGTTTAATAAAAATATAATTTTAAAAACCCAACAAAATATTATTTATTTTTAATTTAATTTAAATGTATTTCTAGCATTTAATATGCTATTTAATGTATTTCTAATAATAATAATAATAATAATAATAATGCAATAACAATAAAGTAACATTGCAAAATAATATTTTGATATTTAATTTACCATTTCATTTAAGGCATATATATATATATATATATTAAGGCATATATTAAAAATATTTAAAATGCATTAAATTAAATGTCAAATTAAAATTTACAATTTCATTTAAGGCATTCTGAAATATTTGAGTAATATAGCAAAGTATTATTTATCATTTAATTTAATTTAAATACGTAACTCCTTAATATCTAGGAAACAATGCAAAATAATATTTGTTTACTTAATAATTAAATAAACCAATCTTATTTTGCAATGTTACCTAAATATTAATAATAATTAAATATTTTTAAATTTGACATTTAATTTAATTCATTTTAATATTTGAATAATATAGCAAAGTAACAGTATTTATCATTCAGTTTAAATATGAAACTCCTTAATATTTAGGTAATATTGCAAAATAATAATTTCTTTTCTATTTTTAAAAATGGCATAAAATAAATAAACAAATAATATCCGGCGGGCGCGTGTCAGTAGAAATGGCTACGCGTGTCAGTACTGACACGCGTGTCATAGGTTCGCCATCACGGCCTTAGTGGATGATCTGCGCCGGGAGCTAGACGGGGGAGTGTGTCCCTGTTGGTGCTCCTGGACCTCTCAGCGGCCTTCGATACCGTCGACCACGGTATCCTTCTGGGGCGCCTTGCGGAAATGGGTCTTGGGGGCACTGTTCTGCAGTGGCTCCAGTCATTTCTGGAGGGCCGCACCCAGAAGGTGTTATTGGGGGACTCCTGTTCAACACCACAGCCTTTGACCTGTGGGGTTCCACAGGGTTCTATACTGTCCCCCATGCTGTTTAATATCTACATGAAGTCGCTGGGTGAGATCATCCGGAGTTTCGGGGTGCGGTGTCATCTGTACGCAGATGATGTCCAACTCTGTCACTCCTTTCCACCTGCTACTAAGGAGGCTGTCGAGGTCCTGAACCGGTGCTGGCCGCTGTAACGGTCTGGATGAGGGCAAACAAATTGAAATTGAATCCAGACAAGACAGAGGTACTCCTGGTCAGTCGCCGAACAGGGTATAGGGTTACAGCCTGTGCTGGACGGGGTCGCACTCCCCTTGAAGGCGCAGGTTCGCAGCTTGGGTGTGACCCTGGATTCATCGTTGAGCCTGGATCCCCAGGTTTCAGCGGTGACCAGGGGAGCATTCGCACAGCTTAGGCTCGTGCGCCAGCTGCGCCCGTACCTTGGGAAGTCTGACTTGGCCATGGTGGTACATGCTCTGGTCACATCCCGCCTTGACTACTGCAACGCTCTCTACGTGGGGCTGCCCTTAAAGACAGCCCGGAAGCTTCAGCTAGTCCAGCGCGCGGCAGCCATGTTACTAACAGGAGCGGGACGCAGGGAGCATACAACGCCCTTGCTGTTCCAGCTCCACTGGCTGCCGATTTGCTACCGGGCCCAATTTAAGGTGCTGGTGTTATCCTACAAAGCCCTAAATGGTTCCGGCCCAAAATACCTTTCGGACCGCATCTTGGCCTATGAGCCCACGAGGACCTTGAGATCGTCTGGGGAGGCCCTTCTCTCGATCCCGCCTGCTTCACAGGCACGTCTGGCGGGGACGAGAGAAAGGGCCTTCTCGGTGGTGGCCCCCCGGCTGTGGAACGACCTCCCTGCTGACATCAGACAGGCGCCCTCCCTTTTGTCCTTCCGCAGGAGCCTAAAGACCTGGCTTTTCGAGAAGGCATTTAACTGAATATCACGGCAACTGGTAATTGACATCTGGAACGGAATATGGACTACGATATTGGATATGATTCTATGATATGACGGAGCGGATTATTTAGTGTAACTAGATTATAGTGTATTATTGTTGTATTGATTTCCTTTTTTGCCCTTTTGTAAACTGTTTTTATATGTTGTGCACCGCCGCGAGTCGCCCTAGGGCTGAGAGCGGCAGTCAATAAATGCAGTAAATAAATAAATAAATAGAAAAAGATGGGAAGCCTTTGCCTCTGTTTATGTACTGTCTATCTTTGTTAATTGTGTAACAGCATTGAATGTTAGCCTTATATGTGTACTGTAATCCGCCTTGAATCCCCTCAGGGAGATAGGGCGGAATTTAAATAAAGCATATTATTATTATTATTATTATTATTATTATTATTATTATTATTATCCCCAAAATGCACAGTGTTGACATCAAATGCCAATGGCAATATGGAAGGACAGGCAGTGAAACAGAACCAGCTAAATTTTGGCTAGTCACTTCTTTTTTATTGATGGAAGAATTTGAGCTCTGTGGGATTGGGTGGAAAAGAGATTTCTATCTAGAAATGTGACTGATTCTCTCACGAATATGAAAACTCAGGTTTGAGAGAGATGTACCAGCAGTG